TCCTGTCCCTTAGCTTTTTTTGGTAAAGACTATTGCTCTACCATTTGGACCACCGCTCTTCTTTCAGCATTTTGGTGGTTAATTAGATATTAGCATCTTATAGACTTTCCTGTTTGGGCTGGGTTCAAACCAGGATCCTCAGATCTCAGTCTCCTGAAGAGTTAGGATGATAAGTACGAGGCACTAATGTCCAGCTATCTCTGAAGTTTTGTTTTCAGTATTCTCTCATTTCTTTCCTTTGGAATATCAATTCAACCCAGGGGTCAAAGTGAATATCCTTCACAGGACTCGAGCTGTATCCTCAACTCTTGATTCCTGAAGGGTTCAGATGTTTGATGGACATTTTTATGACGCACAGGGTCAAATAGAAAAAATTTTCTTCTGGTAATTTTCTTTTATTTTGGGTACTAGGTAAAAAAAAATCGAATGCAGCATTGTCTTTCTGTAATTATTGAGGTAGTCATGTTCCATTTTTATTGTTATCAGGGCCTACCATGTGGAGTTCTTTGAATTGTTAAATCTACCACAAATGGGTTAATCTTTACAAACAAAATTAGCCTATAACTTCATATTGTTGTGTTATTTGTTAGGTTTTACAAAATGTAGCAATGAACAAAGAAAGTATTGAGTAATCTATGTAGGACTGAATGCTGAAAACACAAAAAAATGTGTTCTCATGATTAAATTCAACTGGAAGGAAGGTATCTTCAGTCTTCACTTCAAGCTCTACCAGTCACAGATGTTAAGAATAGTCACCAACAATTAAGAAAAAACTATGCATTCCAAATGAATCAAACTAGAGAAAATAGAGGAGAAAGAAAAATAATCATATTTTCTATTGGAATAAAAAAGAAATGCATGGAGAATTCACATTTTCTACATCTCTTTTCTCTGTCTTTCCATCCAACCTTTTTCTTTTTGTACTACAGAGGATTGAACCCAGGATCTGTCCGGTGAATCCCAGGCAAAAACTCTACCACTGAGCTATAACCCCATCCCAGTCCTTTCTTTTTTGTGCTGATTCTAGGACTTGAATTCAGGCCCTGGATTCATACTTGCTTGCTTATGGATGGCATAATACCACCTGAGCCGTACTTCTAGCCTAGGTTTTGGCTAGTTCATTGGAGATGGAGTCTCAGACTTTCTGTCTGGCATGGCTTCAAGACATGATGCTCTGGACCTCAGTATTCTGAGTGCCAAAGAACCTGTTGGCTTCTAGATCCTGCTACAGGTCTTCACTAAGTTTTCCACACTGGCCTTGAACTTGAATTTTCTTAGTCTAAGCATGCCTCAAATTTCATATTCTGTTGTATCAGCCTTCCAGATACTTGGGATTACAAGCACATATCACCTTACTACCACTTCCCCTCTCCTCCTACACCTTTTTTTCCCCCTTACAATTGTTGCTTGATAGTGGACTGAGGTGTGAACTCTGGGCTTGAACCATATCCTGAATCCTTTTTTGTTCTTTAATTTTATTTACTTTTTTTATTTTTGAAAGAGTCTTAAACATTTTAGAGAACAGTATCCTTCTACTTGCTTATGGCTTCCTGATTAGCTGAGATTACAGACATAAAACTTTTACATACAGTTTATTGGACAACACCTGGTCTTGCTAACTTTTCCTTCTTTCCTTTTTGTGCCAATACTAGGGTTTAAACTCAGGACCTCCCACCATAGCTTGGCTTTTTTGCTCATGGCTGTGTCCTACCAGTCCTACCACTTGATCCACTGTGCTACTTGAACCATGGTCCACTTCCAACTTTTTGGTGGTTAACTGGAAATAAAAGTCAGAATCATACATACCAGCTAGCTTCAAACCATGATCTTAAGATCTCAGCCTCCTGAGTAACTAGAATTACAAGTGTAAGTTACCAGCACCAGAATGAAAAGTTTTCTCTACCGGCTTGTCCTTGAAGCTTCCTCCTTCCAATCACTTCTTCCCAAGTAGTTGAAATCACAGAAGCCCCATCATGCGTGTTGACACCCATTCTCTTTCTGCCCAAATGCCAATAGCAGTGAATGAGTTGCTGTGACTTTGGTGGAGAGGTGCTGTGTGCATTCTGAGCCAACTATTGAAACAAACTGTGGAGTGGATGTGAAGGGAAATGGAAGCTGTTGATTACTGTTGTCTAACTGCATGGAGGTGTACTGAAAGAGCAAAGTACACACTGAAATTCCAAAACAAACAAACAAACATAAAATACCTCATTAACATTGCATTGCATATTGCAATGATAGTGCCCTGCCTATATTGGGTTAAATAAAATTTATTACTCATTTCATCTGTTCATTTTGCTCTTCTTTCTCTTTGTTTTTTGTGCGGGTCCTAGGGCTTCAATTCAGGACTAGGTACTGTCCCTGAGCTTTGGTGCTCAAGGCTAGTGCTCTAGTACTTTGAGCCACAGTGCCATTTTCAGGTTTTTGTTAGTTAATTGGAAATAGAGTCTCTCAGATTTATCTGCTACAAACCATGATCCTCGGATCTCAGCCTCCTGAGTAGCTAGGATTACAGGTGTGACCCGTTAGTGTCCAGCTTCATTTTACTTTTTGAATGTGGATATTAGAAAACTTTCTGTCATAATCCAGAAGATTGTGGTTCAAAGCCCGTCTGGGCAGTAAAGTTCTCAAGACTGCATCTTCAATTAAGCAGCAAAATCCCAAGCTGGTGGTATATATCAAATAGCAGAGTGGCTTCCAAGCAAGCAAGTCAAGCAGCAAGTCCTCAGCTCTAAGACTACTACTCAATGGTAGAGTGAATGCATAGCATGTCTGGGGCCATGTATTTACTTCCTACTTTTCTCACATGTTCTTTGCCTATTTAAAAGACATGTAAAGGCTGGGAAGGTGGCGTTTGCCTTGCATGCCTGAGGCCCTGGGTTCGATTGCTCAGCACCACATAAGCAAAAAGAAGTCAGAAGTGGCGCTGTGGCCCAAGTGGTAGAGCGCTAGCCTTGAGCTGAAGAGCTGAGGGACAGCGCCCAGGCCCAGAGTTCAGGCCCCACAACCCCCCCCCCAAAAAAAAGACATGTAAATAAAATTATATATATAATTGATGTCTGGATATATAGATATATTACAGTGATATATGTATATAGATATATATCTGTATGTAAGTAGAGATATAGAGACAGATCTAGATATATCTCTCTATATACGTATAGATATTCTACTTGATGTTCTGTGGGCTTTCTTAATGTCTCATTACTGTCTGGCATTATTTTTTAGAAAATTGTTGGCCAGGAGCTAGGAAGTTAGCTCAGTGGTAGAGTGCTTGCCTTGCATTCATGAGGCCCTGGGCTCGACTCCTCAGCACCACATAAGCAGAAAAGGCTGGAAGTGGTGCTGTAGCTCAAGTGGTAGGGCGCTAGCCTTGAGCTGAAGAGCTGAGGGACAGCGCCCAGGTCCAGAGTTCAGGTCCCACAACCAACAGAAAGAAAGAAAGAAAGAAAATTGTTGGCCATTATCACTGCAAGTATTCTGTTCTTGATCCATTCTCTTTCTAGTATTCCAATTGTGTGTTTATCTTCTGAAAGTCTCTCTTTGAAGAGTCATTTTGTTGTCTGAATTTTCTTTTATCTGCATTTCAGTATGGGAAAATTTCACGGACATCTCTTAGATCTCAGGGAGTCACTCTTTGCTCAAAATGGAGATTGGGCGACAGTCCTGAAAGATGTGATCACTGTTTCTCTGAAAAATTATAAGTCCATCAAAGATAGGTTTCATTTCCGTTACAATGTCTTTTTTTCTTTCCTTTTTTTATTTTTACAGTACTTCTTTTGAACTTAAGGCTCATGTTTGATACCACTCTAGCCATGCTTTGATCTCTTTTTTTTTTCACCATCCAGCTGGCATCTTTATTATTTCAGAAATAGATATCCTGTGTACTTTGAAGTGGTTAAAATAGTTATTTCAGGATTATTGTAATAAAATGTTCCCCAAGAATAGCAATCATCTCAATAATCATACAGATCTCCTTTCATTCACTGAAGACTTCCCCAAATAACTATTATGTATCAAAAAACTTACAAATATCATGAGAAAGCTATGTAGGACAAAAAGGAAATTCTGCTAGGGGAACCAATGAACTACCTCGGATATCCCACATACACTTTTGATGCATACATATTTTAAAGAAAAAAATTTTTTTGCTATGTTTTTCAATGCTCAGTCTGAGAGAAAACGGAAAACACATACAACAGTTTCAGGAGTAAAACATTTTCACAATCTCTAGAGTAAGCTACAAATGGGCTTTTCTGACAAAGCCTTCAAAACTTTGAGATGATAAAATGAAAGTATGTATCTCAATTAGACATTCAGTAAATATGCACAAAATTCAGCAACTAGTGAATATCTTTCATGTATACCTGACATAAGCATCAAATATACTTGTGAGAGTAAGATACTTTGTTTTAGACATTTCAATGTAAAACATCTATACATACATAATTCTATCAGGGTCTCTCCATATGATTCACATTCTGGACTGTAACAACATATCAACACTGGAAAAAGAGTACTAAGGAAAACAACAGGAGAAGAAATCCTACATTTTTCTTTTAAAGGCTAATGAAAATACAGCAGGTGTTTGTTTTCAAATAGTCCAAATAATGTTGTTCACTAGGGCTCTTCATAATTACATATTGCTAAGTCCTACGACTGCCTTTCTCTGCTCTCTATATTAAATCCTTAAAGTCATTTATAACATCACAATATTTTCTATCTACAACATATGTAGGCTAACTCTTAATCTAATACACTTAATTCTCATAACACAAATCTTAGTTTTCATGTTTGTTAAAGAATGTTAGGATTATTTATATATAAGAGTTGAAAATATATCTTATCTGGAAGAGTACTACTCAATTTATTCTCTAGAAGAAAAAGCAGACCTGAAGGGTCACATTACTGGAACATTTCAAACATGTTGACAGGTTCTTATCTTCTAAACTTCAATGAAAGCTGCTTGTCCAAACTGTGCAATGAATATCTGCCCTATTCAACAGTAAGACATCTGATGTGCTGGAGGAGTCAGAAGCTGTCACTTCATTTCTTTCTGTTACCTCCAGTTGCTAGCATAGATGCAACGCGCATAAATATATTCAGTGTATCCATGTAGATTCCCAACATCGAATTGATTGGATCATATCTGTTCTGTCCATACAATGGTGTTCCCTCTGCATGTTTGACTACTTTCTGAGTGTCATATAGAAGGAACATACTGAAAAGAACTAATCCACCATACATTGCCACTGAGTACAGAGTGGCACCAGCCACAGTGTTCGGTGCTAGAAACATGGACCCCAGTGAAGCCACAAACACAAGACCCAGGCCCACTCCCAGTGGTGCACCCATGTTCAAAAACTTCTCACTGGGAGCACACATGGCCACAGTGGAGAGGCCTCCTACGATGCCGGCGGTGTACCATGCAGCTCTTATGAGAAGGGGTCCCCCCAGTATTGTCAGAGGAGCCACCACGGCACCCATCACACCAGAATGTAGCAACCAAGCAAGATGCTTCGGGCCCTTGTTCTGGTGATACGATATGGACTGTACTAGCATTCCAGCTCCAATCATAGCTACAAGGGTTGCACCAACTGTCACCCAAGAGCCTCTTAGCATGAAATTCATGAGAACAGGAGATTTGGCTATTGCCAAAGCAGACAAAGCTGTTACACCAATACTTCCTGCTAAGTACATATAGGTAGAATGTATTCTATCCTTCACATACTGAGGCCAGATTACAGCCTTTTCAATAGCTCCAATCTCATTAGACATTCCCAAGCCATAGTAACACAGTGTGCCAAGACCAACAGCAGCCCCTCCAGCAACGAACCACCTTCCCATCTGGTCAATTTTATATACTTTTTCCATTGATGGCTCGAATGCCGCTTCTTTGAGCTCTTGGGTGGTTTTCCCTCGGGCGCATCCCAATTCTTGTCTTGGTGGCATATTCCCTGCTGGGTGTTAAGAGCCATTGATTCTTTGTGATGGAATTCTTCACAACGGGGGAGGCCTTGGTGATAGCTGGGTGGAAAACCTTGGAAGGTAGTGTCCAGAGACACACAAGCCTTGCAGCCAGCATGATGATGAACCAGGTTTACTAAGCAGATCTGAAATGCTCAGTTCCCGGTGACCTCCACCACGCAGTTCCCCTTTCGGGCCTGCGAAAACGCGGACGCCGCACCTTCTCGGCCCTCCGCCCGGTCCTTACTCTTTGATCTCTTTTTAATTCAGTAATTTTTGAGAGAGGGTCTCAATATTTTTGCCCCAATATACCTGGAGCATGATTCTCCTAGAGGAGGTGAGCTCCATCTGAAGGGAGATGGAAGAGATGAACTCCATGAACCTAGCTGACTTCTTGCTAATGTGGGCTAGAGGAATCAAGTTGTGGTTAACAGAAAGAGGACTCAAGGTTAGGACAGCTGGAAAAAGATGACTACTGTGCTGAGGTGGTGAAGATGTATGTGAGCTCAGGGGAGCAGGAGGAAGTGATGGCCTGTAGATGAAGCAAGCTAGAGGAGACAGCTGCAGTGAGCTAGAGCTGGATGTGAGTTCAGGTGAAACCGAAGGTGATAGACTTGAGCTTAAAGTACAGCTGAGGAGACAGACTCCATGATAGGAGCTGGTGGAGCAATACTTGACCTCAGGTTACATGTCTGTTGAATCCACAGATAACAGATTTATGGGAAAATATTAGCAAACAAAATCAATGATAAAAACTCGGTCTCCACACACACAGAGAACGAATAGGCTAAGTTAATAAGAACATCTCAATAAACATTGCCAGTCTGAGTGATAAGAATTACCAACATGGATCTAAGTAGAGGGAACCAAAATGGGAACGTAATAACTTCCTTACGTGTGGCCAAAGCATATGCCCAACTCTACTGAGTGCAGATATTTCCATTGGATAGTTGTGAAATTTCCAGAGAAGTTGAAATTGTCCTGCCTAGCATTTGTCCTTGGTTCTCCAAGCATGAATCCAATGATGAAAAGGAGAATGGACAATTCATTATACCTTGCCAAATATTTTCCAAATATTTTTTTGGTTACATGATGAATTCTAAAGGAGATAGGAAGCTAGAACTTCTGGTTTGTTGGTTGGTTGGTATGGCATGGAGACCCAACCCAGGGTCTTTTTTGATTTAGGCAAGCATTCCACCACCAACCTACATTCCTACTAGATTTTTTTGCACACAGCATGGAAAATGAATCCATCAGCTTGCTTTCTTCATGGAACAGCATACTCTTTCTGTGGACCCAGTGATGGTATTGTTCTATGCTCAAGAAGGAAGGGGACTCTGATGGGGAATCTCCTGTTCCAGGTTCCTCCACTTCAGGTGAAGTCTCAAGATGACCCCTGTTATTCCTGGCACCTGTAGCTCATGCCTATAACCCTGGCTACTTGGGAGACAGTCAAAGTCCAAAGCTACCCAGGACAGAAAAGTCCAGGTGACTCTTATTCCCAATTAAGCAACAAAAATTTACCACTTTTTTGTGGAGCTGTAGCTCAATTGGTAGAGCATTAGCCTTGAGTAAAAAAGCTTAAGGATAGCACTGAGATCCTGAGTTCGAACCCCAGGACAGATACACTCATACAGAGAGAGAGAGAGAGAGAGACAGAGAGACAGAGACAGAGAGAGAGAGGAGAGAGAGACAGAGAGAGAGAGACAGACAGACAAACAAGGAGGGGTAAGGGGGAGGAGGGAAGGAAGGAAGGAATTAAGAAAGGAAGGAAAGTTATTTTTAGTTTCCAGGTACCCCTGTCCCTTTTTGTTGGTTGTGGGGCTTGAACTTAGGGCCTGGGTGCTATCCCTGAGTGTTTTTGCTCAAGGCTAGCGCTCTACCACTCTAAGCCACAGGACCACTTCTGGTTATCTGACAGTTAATTGGAGATAAGAGTCTCATGGACTTTCCTGCCCTGACTGGCTTTGCACCATGATCCTCACTCAAATCTTAGCCTCCTGAGTAGCTAGGATTACAGCCATGAGCCACCAGCACTTGGCCCCAAGTACCCCTTTCTATCTAACCAGGGTTCAAATGACTTGACTTACCACTTAAAACCAATGGCCCTCAGCCTCATATTCACATAGGAGTCACCTAGAAAACTTAATCTTCTTTTGTAATCAGTGCTATTGAGGTACATGTAATAAAGTGCACTGCTTAGAATGAACAAACTGACAAATTTTGAACAAGTTTTTACTGTGTAACTAGTAAAGCATAAAAATTTAGAGCATGCCAGGCACCAATGGCTCACATCTGTAATCCTGGCTACTCAGAAGGAAAAGATCTTGAAGCCGGATAACTTAAGGAAACTGAGGCCTGGTGTAGGCAACTCAGGAATGGTATCTAGAAACTTAGAAGTGCTATCTTTGCTTCAGAGAGGCAAGTGAATGCATTCTTTCCTAAGGGATGCATTTCTTACCCAAGAATTCACAACTGTCTGACAGGATGCCACAAAATGCAAATAGCAGGGTGTCTCCTTGTTTCAAGGATAAGGATCTGTTTTATGGCAGGATGCATTCTTTCCTGGAAACTCAGAGTATAACACCAGGTGTAGTAAAAGCAAAGACAAAGCACCCAGCTTTGCATAACTCAAAGCCAGACCCCCTGTCTTTACCCTATAAGTACCCAGTAGCTCAAGAAGCTGTGTGTCTCTCTGGGTGTGTGTGTGTGTCTGTCTGTCTGTCTTTGTGTCCCTATGAGAGCACCCACACTCTGCTAGAGTGTGCCCCTGCCCTTCTGTTTGTCTGCTATTTTGTCTGTTTCCTTGCTTGTTTACTTAATAAAGCTCTGCCAAGTTTTCTTGCCATTGTGACTTGTCCAGAAATTCTTATTCTGCAATAGAAGTTAAGGACCCTAAGTGAAGAGTTCTTATAAAGAGGAGTTCCATTAAACCTCACCTCTGTCTGGTGACATTTTGATTAAAATATACATCTGAAACACCATGGTGGAATTTCTTGATACAATTAATACACACTGAAAAAAGTTATGAATGACAGAAATGGAAGGCAGTCTTTAGTTGGGGAGCAGATATCAGCCAATGCAAACAAATGGGGTGAAGAAGATAAAGATGGTCAAAGTCATTTGCATATGTGAAAAACAACAATGAAATGTGCAGAAGGAGAATTGAAGGAAGGCAGAGTGATAAAGGGGGTGAGGTTGCTTGGGATATATTGCATGAATGTGTAGAAATAAATGTCCTACTGAAACCTCTTTGTAGAACTAATCTGAACAGCAGTCTGATGGTGGGAGAGCTCTCTCCTTGCAGCCTTTGGGGAGCTGCTGTGTGTCCTTTCCAAGTTCATGGCTTTAGAAGTCAGAGGTCTGCAATTTCCTGTCTCTGGTACCTTCAAGTAAGAGTCTTGAGCCAAGAGGTAATCACCTGAATAGCTGGTCTAGCTACAGGGGAAAGATCTTGAATCAGAGCCTCGAAGCTCCAAAAGGGAAAGGATTCACTTCTCCTTTGGAGCCATCAGTTTCGGAAGGTCATTCTGGGAGGCTAGAAGAAGCAGTTGTTGTCCTTAGAACTTTTACAAAATAAATATATTTTAGGACATAAAGCTAGTCTTAACAAAAACATTAAAATTTTCAATATCTTATCAGATCATAATGAAACAGGAAGTCAGTGAAGAGAAACTACAGAAAGCATATAGCACATGAAGTTTAAATAATGTACCTTCAGCTGGGCACCGATGGCTCACACCTGTAAACCTAGCTACCCAGGAGGCTGAGATCTGAGGATCGAGGTTCAAGGTCAGCTGGGCAGGAAAGCCCATGAGACTCTTATCTCCAATTAACCACCAGAAAACTGGAAGAAGGTGCTGTGGTTCAAGTGGTAGAGTGCTAACCTTGAGCTGAAGAGCTCAGGGACAGAGCCCAGGCCCAGAGTTCAGGCCCCACAACCACAAAAAAAAAAAAAATCTTTAAACATTTCATGGACCAATGAATAAATTGAAGGAGAAATATTAAAAGAAAAAAATACTAGCCAGGTGCCATTGGTTCATCCCTGTAATCCTAGCTATTCAGGAGGCTGATATCTGAGGACTGCGGTTGAAAGCCAGCCTGGGCAAGAAACTCTATGAGACTCTTTGCTCCAATAAACTACTTAAAAAGGTTTTTTTTTTTTTTTAAACCCAAAACAAAAAAAACTGTAAAGTTGTAAAGCTCTTACCTGAGCAAAAGAAGCTCAGCAACGGTGCCCAGGCTCAGAGTTCAAACCCCACAACTAGGGAAGGAAATATCTCTAGACTCAAAATTCAGAAAGGGTGAAGGGAAGAGAAGTGAGGGTTGCAAGGAAGTGACAATAAACAAAGGATGAAAATGAAGGGCTTTGTGTTTGTAGATGTTGGAATCTCATTTTCACCTGGAAATATGTTGAGGATGTTGACAGGAACCTATAAAAGTGGGGGTAGGAATGTGGCTTAGTGGTAGAGTGCTTGCCTAGTGTGCACGAAGCCCTGGGTCGGATTCCTCAGTACCACATACACAGAAAAAGCCAGAAGTGGTGCTGGTAGAGTGCTAGTCCTGAGCAAAAGAAACTCAGGGACAGTGCCCAGGCCCTAGGTTCAAACCCCAGGACTGCCCCCCCCCAAAAAAAGTATGTATTTGTAGGGAAGCAGATGTGGTGAAGATAAACTATAGCTGGACACCAGAGGATCACGCCTGCAATCTTAGCTAGTTAGAAGGCTGAGATCTGAGAATCAGGGTTTGAAGCCAGCCCAGGCAGGAAAGCCTATGAGATTCTTATCTTCAATTAACTCTTAAGAAGTTGGAGTCGAGCAGAGCGCCAGTGGCCCACACCTATAATCCTAGCTACTCAGGAGGCTGAGATCTGAGGATTGCAGTTCAAAGCCAGCCCAGGCAGGAACATCCGTGAGTCTCATCTCCAATTAGCTACCAGAAAACTGGAAGTGGTGCTATGGCTCAAGTGATAGAGCACTCGCCTTGATCTGAAGAGCTCAGGTACAGCGCCCAGGCCCAGAGTTTAAGACTCATGACTGACAAAAAAAACCTAGAGTGGAGGTATAGCTCAAGTGATAGTACTCTACCCTTGAGCTAAAAGGCCAAACAAGAACTCAAGAACCTGATTTCAAGTCCCAGTATCAGCATATGCATGAATGTGTATGCACAGGGGTGGACACCCACACATCCACACAGGAAAATAAATCATAGAATCATATCCTTGTTAGATAGGTAAGAAATT